CTCAAGGCATTCAACTTTAATGCCCTTAAAAATCAATGTCTCACCTGCACTCCTGTTTCTTCTTTTCTAGAGCTACGACACCTCCACAGGACAGATCAGAAGCGACCAGAGGGTTTGACGCTTGTCCCATGGGCTGTTCGTAGGCAGCTCCCGTATAATGTAGCGATAATTGATTCCCTAGCCTTCAGTAGAATACGCAAAGGCTCGGTTTGTAACCCCGGAACGGCTGCGGGCAAGGCGGAAGATCAAAAATTTGACAAATACAGAGATTCAATAAATGATGCATATATTTGTCAACAATTAGCTTTTATCAACCGCAGGCCCTATAACTGAGAATTTTATGAATAAACTTTGTAAAAACTTGTGCACGTGTACCGAGGAACCTAGTGTAGGTATTTTTCTTAAGCAGAGAATCTCCCTCGCAATATAGGTTGCGAACGCACTCTGTGTAGTCGCCACTACTATGAGAAAACTATTTTCGAAGAAGTTTTAGAGCCGAAGTTTTAGAGCCTAGTTTCGAAGAAGTAATAGAGCCAAGAGATCAAAAGCGCAGCTTTGTATAAGTATATGACAGAACCGTTGCCTCATATCAGGTCAGTTTTTTTGAGTCACTTTTAACTGCGGTTTATTCTGTGCAGCTGTTAGTTTTCTCATTCTGGTTGGCTTGATTGTCAACTATCTGACTCTCTTTACTTGTTGAACTCTTAACAGTTTAACTATCACAAGTCAAAGACAAAACAAGAAACAACTTGAAACCAGCATGCTCAGTATCTGGTCGAACATAAAAACGTACAGGAACAGTGCAGACTATCTAGACAAGCTATTAACAGTTTACAACCAGTTTCTTGTATCAACAATTTGGATAATAACTCGATGAGTTGTTTTCATTAATTATGATATACTGAATGCACACGTTGATTATTAAACTCTAAATTAGGTATTCTTAATTACAATTCTAAAAAAATCGCTGTTTATTCAAGTTTTTAGAAACCAAATTGAAACTATAAAACCAAATAAGAACGGCGGTCCTATATCCAACAGACGTAAAAGTGAAAACGATAGAGATTAAAGAATTGGGCTCAGTGTCTTCAAATCAAAAAATTGACAAATGCAAAATTTAGAAACTCGCAAATCCCATTTAAACATGAAGTCCTGGTTGACTCAAACGCTGGAGGCAACCTAAAAATCGATTTTTTATCGGCGTTGTTGGACAAATTGTCGCTAAAAGAGGAGGTTAGGATAGTTCTGGTAATCAAACTATTTCCGTCATTTACAATTCCGTCGACTAATTCCGTCATATCGAAGTGTTGATTGAATTTTGAGTCGTTGATGAAATTAATACGACCAGTTAGCTGGCCCCAATTCAATTTAAAACGATTATCAGTGCTGATAATTTGGCACTGATTAATAATTAGCGTACTGACACAAAATACCAAAGTATTATTCCAGCCGCCAAGCCGCAACTTAGTCTAATGCAAGCATTCTGGCTTGGCAATCCCAAGATTTTGGATCGATATCCATTTCCGCTCAAATTTTCTAAAATCGTCATAAATAAAAAAAATTCACCTCGGGCATATATAATCCTCGCTTTCTTCGAAAGACGGAACAGAAAAGTTTTAGAGCCTTGTTTCGAAGAATCAATAGAGCCAAGAGAACAAAAGCGCAGCTTTGTATAAGTATATGATAGAACCGTTGCCTCATATCAGGTCAGTTTTTTTTAGTCACTTTTAACTGCGGTTTATTCTGTGCAGCTGTTAGTTTTCTCATTCTGGTTGGCTTGATTGTCAACCATCTGACTCTCTTTACTTGTTGAACTCTTAACAGTTTTACGATCAAAAGTCAAACACAAAACAAGAAACAAATTGAAACCACGATGCTCAGTATCCGATCGAACATAAAAACGTACAGGAACAGTGCAGATTATCTAGACAAGCTATTAACAGTTTACAACCAGTTTCTTGTATCAACAATTTGGATAATAACTCGATGAGTTGTTTTCATTAATTATGATATACTGAATGCACACGTTGATTATGAATCTCTAAATTAGGTATTCTTAATTACAATTCTAAAAAAACCGCTGTTTATTCAAGTTTTTAGAAACCAAATTGAAACTATACAAACAAAAAAAAACGGTCCTATATCCAACAGACGTAAAAGTGAAAACGATAGAGATTAAAGAATTGGGCTTAGTGTCTTCAAATCAAAAAAATTGACAGATGAAAAGTTTAGAGACTCGCAAATCCCATTTCAACATGAAGTCCTGGTTGACTCAAACGCTGGAGGTAACCTAAAAATCGATTTTTAATCGGCGTTGTTGGGCAAATTGTCGCAAAACGAGGAGGTTAGGATAGTTCTGGTAATCAAACTAATTCCGTCATTTACAATTCCGTCATATCGAAGTGTTGATTGAATTTTGAGTCGTTGATGAAATTAAAACGACCAATTAGCTGGCCCCAATTCAATTTAAAACGATTATCAGTGCTGATAATTTGACACTGATTAATAATTAGCGTACTGACACAAAATACCAAAGTATTATTCCAGCCGCCAAGCCGCAACTTAGTCTAATGCAAGCATTCTGGCTTGGCAATCCCAAGATTTTGGATCGATATCCATTTCCGCTCAACTTTTCTAAAATCGTCATAAATACAAAAAATTCACCTCGGGTATATATAATCCTCGCTTTCTTCGAAAGTCGGAACAAAAAAGTTTTAGAGCCTAGTTTCGAAGAAGTAATAGAGCCAAGAGAACAAAAGCGCAGCTTTGTATAAGTATATGATAGAACCGTTGCCTCATATCAGGTCAGTTTTTTTGAGTCACTTTTAACTGCGGTTTATTCTGTGCAGCTGTTAATTTTTTCATTCTGGTTGGCTTGATTGTCAACTATCTGACTCTCTTTACTTGTTGAACTCTTAACAGTTTTACTATCAAAAGTCAAAGACAAAACAAGAAACAAATTGAAACCAGGATGCTCAGTATCCGATCGAACATAAAAACGTACAGGAACAGTGCAGATTATCTAAACAAGCTATTAACAGTTTACAACCAGTTTCTTGAATCAACAATTTGGATAATAACTCGATGAGTTGTTTTAATTAATTATGATATACTGAATGCACACCGTTGCCTCGATTATTAATAATTAGCGTACTGACACAAAATACCAAAGTATTATTCCAGCAGCCAAACCGCAACTTAGTCTAATGCAAGCATTCTGGCTTGGCAATCCCAAGATTTTGGATCGATATCCATTTCCGCTCAACTTTTCTAAAATTGTCATAAATACAAAAAAATCACCTCGGGCATATATAATCCTCGTTTTTTTCGAAAGTCGGAACAAAAAATTGTCGCGTATCGCATTTAAATTATCAGAGAAGAACTACTTGAAAAAAAAGTATAGAAACTACATATTCAGACTGAATCTACAAAAATCTTGATTCTGGCTGCATTTTATCAAATTGCTCAAAATGGGGGATGCATACATTTATTAATCATACAACATCGAAAATATCCAAAACTCACCGTTTTCAACTTTCTTTCAAACCAGTCTAATATATAGAAAAAAGACCATGTTTACTTTAGTTTACAAGAGCAAACCAAATTAGGAGAGAAAAACATGTTCAAAAAATGATTCTGAAATAAAAAATATTTTCCAAAATTTTCAAAATAGTTAAAATCTGGACAATAATTTAAATTTAGAAAACCGAGTAAAGAACCGATACAAAACTGTATCATATTAAAAAGGTATGAAGCCAGAGAAAACTGACTTTTAACTTATTTTAAAAAAATAATCAACACAAAAGTAAAATTCATGCAATTAGACTTGAGAAACAATCACAAAGAAAAACTTTCAAAACAATTTTCTTCATTCAAAATTGAAAAAAAAAATGTTCGTTTTATTTTCTATTATTGCATGTAAATGATGCAGAGCAGGAAAAACAGTAACAATTGTGCTGGAAAAAAAAGCGAAAAAACTAGACTTCATTTAAAAGCAAGAATTTCTCGGAACTTAGTGCAAAAAATACACCAAATTATGAAAAAGTTATTTGGTGATTTGTTATTACGTAGGTTATAATAAATCTGAGTTTAACATTCCACACAACTATAGTTCCAATCAATAGCTACTGGAAAGCAAAGAAATCAATAAAAAATTACAGAAATTGATCGCGAAATACACCAGAAAACTTGCACTTAAACCCATGAACAACTGCCGGCATCAAAAATTTATTATAAATACAGCATATCGCTGAAGATGCAGCAAAGAAGTTCCGATAAATCTATTTTGTGAACGAAATAAATGAGGATTAAAAAACCATGTCTTTTTTGTTTTAAGAGTCTTGTGAGGTTAACTTCAAGCTTTCGATCAGAGGAAGCATAGTGGCAATGATAGTGTGTGATGACGAACTCTCAGTTGACCTCTAGCTTCAAGTCTACCACTGCGATAGTGGTATCACATGAAGTTCTTGACTAAAAAAATGGCTTTAAGTAGCAAAAAAAAGCTTCGCTCAACAAAAAACTTAGTCTTGAATGAGGGGAATCAAGACAAGCGGACTGTGCTTAGACAGGCTGGATAGCCTTTGATAGATCCTCTGCGAATCACAGAAACCACACTTATCCTTCTTATTTTTTTCATCGTGTCAGTAATATTAATCTCAAAGAATACCAATGAAGTTAATAGAAAAAAATATAATTTAATACGACACCCAATAAGCCGAAACCGATATCAAAACGAATTGATTAACCAAAACATGCTATAACTTAAATTATGATTCTAATGCTAGTGAACATCTAAAATGAACAATTTATTCATAAAAAAAAACAAAGCATGGCGTAGTTTATTGTTTTTCTGATTGTTTTTGTCCAAAATTCCAGTGAGATTTTGATTTAAGGGTTACTCAGTTATGATTGATCCTTCCAGAACTCCACACAAAAAAACAGGCAGAAATCTTGTTGGTTTTAGAAACTTAAATTGAAGTAAGCTAAATTGATAATTGCACTACATAATTTAAGCATAAATTTATTTTTATGGCTCTCTTTAAATTAAATGTACACACGAGCTGTTGTTAACAATTTTGTGCTAGTAATGTTCAAAACATCCTCAACTTCAAAAACATTTTACATAATTACAAAGGCAAAACTAAACATCTAATCTCATTTAGTATACTTACAAAAGACTCTTTTCTAGCAAGTTTTTTTTACTAACTAACATTGAAATCGTTTTTAACTTTATTTCGAGTTTCTTGCAGCTGATTAAATATGCTGTTTGACAGACTGTGAACTTTGTCCTCTTTATATTCCGATAGTTCTTCTCGTTAGATTTTTTTTCGAATGTTCAGCCTGAATATTAAGCTCGATTTCCTTCAGCTGAGAAAATCAGTTCCTCAAAAACTGATTCCTTTCAAATGTTCTCTTTTGTAATGTCAATACTGATTATCTATATTGCATTGGTTCTCCTCCTGCGTATCTTCCTCTTCTTCGGTTCTCCACTGCTGTTCACGGCCCCTTCAGCCCCTGAAACTCCACTCTGGGCTGATCCAGTAGCTATAGAATCACCCTATAAAACAGCAGACATAGTAGAACAATGAACAGACAAAACATAATGAATGTGCATTTTACGAAACTGATTCTAGGACAACTGGCCGACGGGACTTCTTCGGTTGCAGTATGACGTATTATAAAACAATAATTAAAAACATGAATAAAAAACACCTGTTTTAAAACATGTTTTAAAACCCCCGTTTTAAAACAGCCAACCCTGACTTCAAGCCGAGTTCTTCAGGCACGTTTAGTCCATAATAGAAGTTAGTCATGTCAATGCACCATTTGGGACTGGCTTTCGTTACTTACATTAGCCGAACTTTGAAATGCACAAATTGAGAATAAAAAATAATAATTTTTAATTAATTCATACTTCATGACTTATAAAGAAAATGTTCGGCTGGAAGTCCCTTATTTTACAATTCGGCTTGAAGTACGACACCCTGATTAGAGTTAGAATTAGAAGGTGAATGTCAAGGAGACGGGTCTGACACAGACAGTGAACGAAATAGACAGTTATGAGACAATAAAGCAAAGGACCCAGTTAGAAGATAATTATTAACCAAACATTGAAACACTATTTATTACGGCAGTTAGTCTTAATTTCGTTCACTTTGAGTGGTACTAGGTAAAAAAGACGACACACCATTAAAACGACAAGACGTTAAGACGACAAGTAAAAGTTACTACACGTAAACTGAGCAGTTCGAATTTGAGTGGTTTAAATTTCTCAGAAATACAAAGTAGATAATAGCGTGAAGCCTTGTTTTTAAGTCCTATCATAAACGGTAGTCGTCTTAATGGTTGTCGTCTTATTTGTCGGTCACCAATTTGAGGGCAAGCATGGTGTGAAACAATTACTCGTTTACTGCCTAAATCATTAAATTACCCGCCAAAATACCTTCATTTTGATTGTTTTGCTCGTTAGTAAATTCACTGTCTAGATCAGACACGTCTCTGTGTCATTCACCGAAAAAGAATTTCGATTATTTAAAATTCGTTAATATGGACGAGGGGAGGTTCAACAGTGCCGGAGTACAACCTTGCCGAAACTGAAAATGTGTTCAAGAGTACCGAAAATTTATATTTTTGTAGGCAAGTTTGCGTAAATACTTTATTGATTGTTTATTCAGGAAAATTTATGACGCCGAGCTTGGAGAATTTTTGTTTGTCACACAAGCGTTATTAAATGGCCATGTTTGTCTTTTTAACTTCCGTCCATTTGAATCAAAATACTTGCCAGTAAATTGGGATGAGCAAAAACAAAGGGGCAGTACACCAATGACGAAGTACAAGTGCCGAAAATTATTTTTAATACAGTTTTTAATCATCCTAAATCACTGACATGTAATTCAATTCAAATGGACGGAAGTTGAAAAGACACAATTGTCCATTTTAATTGCTGCCGCTTGTTAAACAAACAAAAGTTACTTCAGGTACCCCGCGCGTCGTCATAAATTTTTTTGAACAAACAAGCAAGCTTTTGTTATAGTATGAACTCTCTTGTTTTTTCCAACCTAAGTTGCAAATATTGTTGCGACAAAATGTGTTCAGTTTGATCAATGACCAGCTATTAAGAACATCCAATGCTAATGATATTAACACACACTAAAATATTACAAATAACACTTTACCTTCAGGGCATCAAGGATCTGTAGCGTAGAGGTAGGGAAGATCCTCAACAAAATAAGAGGGTTCGAACCTGGGCAGGGTCGGATGTTTTTAATGAACTTTTTCGTATACAACTTAAAATGCATCCGCTCTATAAATTGAGGCATGTTAGTTGGTAATTTTTTTTTTCAAATTGACTGGCTTGCGTCACTTAGCAATTAATGTAGACTCATTCAGTTTCTCCCAGTAGCGCAATCGGTCATATTTTTGCTTGTGTATGCGAAGTGCAACTTCGCTTCTGTTAATACTTGACTTTCGGCTATTTTTGTTTTCGGTCCTTCGCCCATAAGTTTTTCGCCCATTCGGTGCTTCGCCCATGAGAATAACCCCCTCAGCAAATTGTTAATTTCAATTCTCGGTTTCGCTCCAAAGCAAAACATTAGTGACGCAAAAAAACTGCCAACAATTCACAAACAGTACTCAAAGTTTTAAAACATCATCAACATTTTCAGTTTCGGCACTGTTGTACTTCGGCACCGTTGAACGCCCCCAAAACAGTATTCAAATTATTTTTCGGCCCTGTTGAACAAGATTTTGATTTTCGGCACTGTTGTACTGCTCTAAATGAACTTTTCAGATACTTGTGAAACGCATAACATGCGCAAATTATTCAGTCACACTCTAAACCATTAAACAAAGCAATATTATTTGTTCATGGAGAAACGTTTCGAAACACTTATCAACCACCAGAAATTTTAGAAGATAAACAAGAATAGCAGTCGATGTGCAAATAGCACAACTGCTCCCAGCTGTATGAAAACTTTTTGAAGCCTCCATTCTGTGAAAAAAGAACCCGAGGCTATAGTTCCTTCACACTCCTAAGAGATGATCGCAGCATTATAATAAAAATGGAGCTTACTTTTGCAACGGAGTCTCTGATTTGCCTTTTAAGATCCAAGCTCTGCGTTGTTCGTGTTGTCCCTTGCATCGACTTTCTTGCTTCTGGATTTGTTGGCGCCGCCATGAATGGCCTATAAAACGACTGGGTCTTCTTTCTCGGTGGTCGATCTCTAGATTCCGAATATCGCGCTGTTCCCGCGCTGCTACCCGCGGACATCGCAGCTGTCGGAGCTACGGCCGCGGAGAGCCGACCTGCATCTATATCGCCTTGATCGTCTGTTATCTGTTCCCGTTCTTCCTCTATTGACGTATCTCCAGGCCTTCTAGAACTCGTACGCGGGTTCTTAGACCTTCGGGTGCTTAGTCGATTCGACGTTACAGTTCCGTCGTTATCGTTGCGTTCCGGGTCTTCTGAATCCACTTGACCCGAGTACTTTGAAAACCTCGCCGGCCTTTCCGAATCACTTTCGGCAGTCGTTCGTTCCGAAACATCTTCTAAGCCTCGGTTCGGAATCAAAATGCTCTTCGACGTCGCTCGCTGGAACGCATTCTTCGAAAAGCGTCGTGAATAGATTTTTGTAAGAGCTGCTTGACTTTTCATTTCACGCAACGGATCATCCGATTGTTCGCCAGCGAAATTTATGAAAACTTGATCCAAGCTAGTTTGATTAATTGAGTAATCATCGACTAGTATTTCTGATTCCATATTATTATCGTACTTCACTTTTGTCTTCTTACCCGCCTCCAAGACTCGGAATAAATCTGCAACAACTGCGTGGTCTTGCGGTACTTGAAACACCACCAACCCTGGGAGACGTTCTTTCACTTCAGATTCTGGATATTTCTGCAGGAAAAATCGTTCGACTGTATCCCCGAGGCCTACTTTCATTTTGACGGTAACTACATATCCACTGCCGTATTTCGTTTTGATATGTTGAGTTGAGCCTAGACATTTAAATTGACCGTTGACCATTATGGCCAATCGAGTGCACAGGGCTTCGCACTCCTCCATCGAGTGAGATGTTAGCACTATGGATCTGCCTTCTACCACTGCGTCATGTATGCATTGCCAGAGGAACCTAAGCAACAACATATTTTCCCATACTATGACACAGAGACGAAGCTGTGCTTCGCAAACAATTGCGAGAACACGACAAACTAGCAGCTCTATCAAGTGAAAACAGAAAAAAAGAAATAAGCCTCCAATTAGCAAAATCTAGGCTACGTGTCCGATTTGAATATGAGACCTAGGAAATTTGAGTCATACACTAACCACTCAGCCACGGATGTTTAAACTCCCCAAAAACTAGCCAACAATAACGAAGCAACATATGCTAATAAATTGGGAATTAGAGGCAGCAAAATTAGCACCAAATACAAAAGATACAAGTTTGCAAGTAATAATTTGGAATAAAACAAACTGAAGGCATCCACACTAACTTTGCATGTAAAAAATCGGAAAGCATAAAGCCACATTATGTATGAAAGTCGGAACAATAAAAAGTGAAAGCGCAAAAAAAGCAACATGGCATAACACATCTACCAAAATTTTTCAATTAACGATTTGTCTCGAATGATATTCATTTTAAAAGAAAAATGTGAAAAGAAACAATTATAGGAACTGACCGAGCGTTAAAGCAACCTTTGCAAAACATTAATCCAGACAGCAATAAATGAGTAAACGAAAGTTGGGCCGAAAAAAAAGTATGTCCTAGGAAACAAACAGAAACAATTTGAAAGTTGACACAGAAGCAAAAACACAAGCGATAAAATTTCATGAGCTTTAAAATAAAAATACTAACTTAGCATGTTATATTTTGGGATGAAGAAAACTGAAGGCAAACATTATAACTTTGCATGCAATGAATTGGAAACTGTAAAGACACATTTTGTAAAAACTATGCATTATAAAAATTTCGCCAAATATACTGAGGTTTTGCTGAAAAATCAGATAATCGAATTCCATTTTCGAAAATAGAAGTCAATCTCATTTTTCGGGACCTACATAGTTTTGCTGTTCGATAGTGGAGTTTGCCTTCCTTTTTAGAAAGGAAATGAACTGAATTTGAAAAGAAATCAAAAGTCAAACTGCGTTTATGACTCATAACAATGTTCAAAAAAGGGGGAAACCCCGCACATAGTTCGCAAGATCCCACGCGCATGGCTTGTTTCAAAAATAACGGCAGCGTAGATAGCTGTTGCTTAGCAAACTCCTGCCCAGAAGAATAAGAGGAAGACTGAAACCGCCTGGAGAACAATTTTGTTTGCTTAACACTGAAACGTTGACAGCTTAGTTGTTTCATGAAGTCTAGTTTATTGGTACAGATTAATATTTGAAACTGCATTTTAAACGGGAAGTTAAGTGGCAAACTTTTTGCTAGTCTCCAAATTTTGGTTGAAAAACGAACTCTTACAAAACTATTCAAATTTACGCAACTCAAAGCCGGAAATAATTCTGGTCTAGGAGTCATGGATAATTTTTAAGTCACTTCAGATTCTGGATATTTCTGCAGGAAAAATCGTTCGACTGTATCCCCGAGGCCTACTTTCATTTTGACGGTAACTACATATCCACTGCCGTATTTCGTTTTGATATGTTGAGTTGAGCCTAGACATTTAAATTGACCGTTGACCATTATGGCCAATCGAGTGCACAGGGCTTCGCACTCCTCCATCGAGTGAGATGTTAGCACTATGGATCTGCCTTCTACCACTGCGTCATGTATGCATTGCCAGAGGAACCTAAGCAACAACATATTTTCCCATACTATGACACAGAGACGAAGCTGTGCTTCGCAAACAATTGCGAGAACACGACAAACTAGCAGCTCTATCAAGTGAAAACAGAAAAAAAGAAATAAGCCTCCAATTAGCAAAATCTAGGCTACGTGTCCGATTTGAATATGAGACCTAGGAAATTTGAGTCATACACTAACCACTCAGCCACGGATGTTTAAACTCCCCAAAAACTAGCCAACAATAACGAAGCAACATATGCTAATAAATTGGGAATTAGAGGCAGCAAAATTAGCACCAAATACAAAAGATACAAGTTTGCAAGTAATAATTTGGAATAAAACAAACTGAAGGCATCCACACTAACTTTGCATGTAAAAAATCGGAAAGCATAAAGCCACATTATGTATAAATAATGTATTTCAAAAAATTGCAATAAATTGAGTCAGAAACTTTGTGAAATTGAGTTTTAATTATAGTTATGCTGTTTGAAACAAATAGCTTTTTTCGGTGCAGTTGATGAATTTAAAACGCAACAACTGTGTTAACTTATTAGTATTCGAATGCCAAAGCACATTCTATCAAAAAGCTGTAAAGGTGCCCCAAAAGTGGCACCAATACTTGCGACTTAGGTTGGAAAAAAGAGAAAGTTCGTAGTAATACACTTTGCTCCGCAAGTGTAATTAGTTAGTCAATTTCAAGAGTAACCTGTTCATAATTTGACACAGGCCAAGTGAGTCGTCGCATCACTTCCGATACAACACAAACAAAAAAAATATATAAGAAGTCCAAAAAAATGGTGGAAAAAACTAGGTCTACCGAAATTTTCGTATGTCTCGATAAAAATTTATTCTGGACAAACATGCCAAACAAAACAAATGAGTAATTAAATTAGCCAACAATTTGGCCGAGCAGACACCACTTAAGCTGAAAAAAAAAGATTTTATTTAAGAAGTTTTAAGTCCCCCTGAAACTACAATGAACAACACTAAATGAATATGAAAACTCAACATTAATGAAAATTGCTTAAAGCACAAAATCTGTGATGTGGCCGAAAGTAACAAAACTTGAGCAGACAAACGAAAGTCCGGCGACAATTCAAGTTTAAATGGAAAACAATTTCAATTTCATCCATAATTTTCATACAAAGTCATTCATGAAAAAACAAGGTCCAGCCGGTACCCAAACAAGTGACCATAGGGTGCAAAGACGACCACGTTATCTATACGCATTATTTAATACAATTTGAAAACATCAATACGCAACTTCTATTCCGCTGAAAAAACTCAATTTACTTCAATTTTCGAAATTAGAAGATATTCAGATTTGCACTTTTGTAATTATAGAGTGTAAATCTCAGTAAATTAAATAACAAGACTGCTCGTATAACAAGACTGCTCGTATCAGGGCCGAGCCCTGAATGTTCCGACTGCCTTTTAAGGTTTATGGAGCAGTAATAACATTAAAAAATTAATTGAAAAAAAAATAAAATGAAATTTTTTTTTAAGTTGATTTTTTTTTAAATCATCACCCCACACGCCATACAAAGTACAAACGGATAGATTTCATTCCTTGAAACAAATCAATTATGGCAAATAAGCTTCTTTCAACCAATTTGGAACGATTTCTGAGACGGATTAAATCTCCGCTTACGCGTTAATAGCTCGAATTATATCGCGCGTTAATTGTCCCAAATTGGTCAAAATTGCCAAAATGGCAACCTTTAAACCCTCATAACTTTACGTAAAATGATCACAGGTAAAATATCTTTTCAAATTTAAGCTCAGGACAACAATACCTTTTGAATGATATAAAAAAATTACGTCAAAAATGGCTAGTTAAAAAGCCGAAATTTGTCTGAAGAAAAAAAAACCCACCCCGAGCAAAAATATTCCGTTACTTTCGTACCGAAAGTCGGAACAATAAAAAGTGAAAGCGCAAAAAAAGCAACATGGCATAACACATCTACCAAAATTTTTCAATTAACGATTTGTCTCGAATGATATTCATTTTAAAAGAAAAATGTGAAAAGAAACAATTATAGGAACTGACCGAGCGTTAAAGCAACCTTTGCAAAACATTAATCCAGACAGCAATAAATGAGTAAACGAAAGTTGGGCCGAAAAAAAAGTATGTCCTAGGAAACAAACAAACAATTTGAAAGTTGACACAGAAGCAAAAACACAAGCGATAAAATTTCATGAGCTTTAAAATAAAAATACTAACTTAGCATGTTATATTTTGGGATGAAGAAAACTGAAGGCAAACATTATAACTTTGCATGCAATGAATTGGAAACTGTAAAGACACATTTTGTAAAAACTATGCATTATAAAAATTTCGCCAAATATACTGAGGTTTTGCTGAAAAATCAGATAATCGAATTCCATTTTCGAAAATAGAAGTCAATCTCATTTTTCGGGACCTACATAGTTTTGCTGTTCGATAGTGGAGTTTGCCTTCCTTTTTAGAAAGGAAATGAACTGAATTTGAAAAGAAATCAAAAGTCAAACTGCGTTTATGACTCATAACAATGTTCAAAAAAGGGGGAAACCCCGCACATAGTTCGCAAGATCCCACGCGCATGGCTTGTTTCAAAAATAACGGCAGCGTAGATAGCTGTTGCTTAGCAAACTCCTGCCCAGAAGAATAAGAGGAAGACTGAAACCGCCTGGAGAACAATTTTGTTTGCTTAACACTGAAACGTTGACAGCTTAGTTGTTTCATGAAGTCTAGTTTATTGGTACAGATTAATATTTGAAACTGCATTTTAAACGGGAAGTTAAGTGGCAAACTTTTTGCTAGTCTCCAAATTTTGGTTGAAAAACGAACTCTTACAAAACTATTCAAATTTACGCAACTCAAAGCCGGAAATAATTCTGGTCTAGGAGTCATGGATAATTTTTAAGTCAGTTTGTAGAAACAAGCTCTGATCTCTTTAACTATTTGCCAAAAAGAGGGGATTCGATACTAGGTATAAAATTCTCATAAGTGAGTTAGGACCGATGTGGTTAACTCATAGAGTAATTTCGGATAGGGTACACCGTCTGCTCGTCACGCTATCTTATTTTCGGCCGGATAGATTCGTGCAACTTCTTAGTCTAATACCGATCCTAATCTTACTCTTATACTTACTAGTCTCAGGGTGTTTAACTAGTCTCTGCTAGGCTCAATAGATCTAGGGTATACTGGTTTGTTGCGGCTGCTGAAGTTCTCTCGGAGAGACAACTAATTTCTAAGTTAAATTCAAATCTCTCTGGTGCTGAAATTACAAGTAATTTCAGCACTTACAAATAAGTGGGTTGTTAGTTAGATGGATCATGATTGGTCAATATTAAATACT